AACGAAAAATATCTGTGACTGGGATCAATCATCCCAAGTAAGTAGAAAGTGAACACAAAAGAATCTGAAGCCACCCCAAATATGCCTGAGAGCTTTGATTCTTTCGTCAAAATCCGCTGCACTTGGCAATCGTTAACCAAGGGCAACAGAGACAAAATCGACCAAATCTCCGCGAAGAAAACCAAGCATCTGCGATCAGCTTACAATCCTACGAACACATCACATGGAACTGGAGTTCACAAGGAAAGTAGTCTAAGGGACACCATGCCATCCACGTCATGTGTTCGTCAGTTGTGTGTGGTGAGTCGAAGTGACTTCACGGCGCTCCTCGCCCAAACCAGCACAGCTGATCCCCACTGGAGGCTTCGCACACCCCCAACTCCTCTGGGCATCTCCCGCCGCGCGGCGTCGGCCCGGCGTCTCCCGCCGCGCGATGCACGGCGCGATGTCCGGCCTTTGCGCCGCGTCTCGCGCTTCAGAAAGCCCTGGATGTCCATCGGTCCGTCGGTGCAGAAACTGAAGCACCGCTTTCCTGACCGGACGAGGACGGGCGGAGGACTTCGGACGAGGACGTTTGCTGCTCCAGAGCGGATCACCGAGCCGAAAGCGAGAGGCGGAGCAAAAAGCCCAGGGTCTGGACGCCCACGACTTGGCTTGTCCGACTATGTTTGGATACCACCGAAGCAAAGGAAACTCCTTTAAGATCACCCTAAAGACCGTTTTGAGGAGAGTCTTGAACTTCCAGGGTTATTGTAGGAGTGCAGGAAGACTGGACCAATGCGCCTTCGGATGGGCGATGGAACAAGGAATGCTCCTCCAGGAAGCCATAGAAGTCACGCAACACCACGTCGATAGTATCAGCCTCACAAGTGGCATCTGCTCGTGACGGAACACACCAAGGACTTGCAAAGATGTCTCTGTCAGGGCATCTTAGGCTGTGGGATCCAAATGTTGTTTGGAATGAAGCTGAAGAGACTGAAGAATCTCAAGCAAAGCCTCTCAAAGCTTGATCTATGGAGACTCTCTCGCAGTGTCTCAAAAAACCTGCCGTCAACATGTCTTTCGAACACCAACAAGGCCTGAAAACAGGGATGTGAGATGTGTTTTAAAAGAAAAGAAAAATCATACCCCTGTGCCCTTCACGTGCCACACAGGTGCCATGGAAGGTCCATTTGCTTCTTTCTTTTATGGAGGTCCCTCTTTTGGCCCAAGGAGCTTCATCGACCCAAGCTTGCTGAATGCCAGTGAGCTCTCGGCAAAAGTCCTCCCAGCCACAAACCGACGATCCGCACGTGTGGCGTGTCCTCTCGTTCAATGTCTTTGGCGTGGAAAAGGTCAGTCATGGTTTTCCGGACATGGACAGCTGTATCATGGTAAAGCTTTATAAATGGCTGAGATGTCCGCTCACTTGAAATGAAGGAACATTCACGTCTTTTTTATTAAGTTCCCCTTTCAAGCCGATAGACATCGATGCCAAAAAAGCATCTACACCCATGCCAAACTCAAGAAATAAAGTCAAAAACGGTCATTCCAAAACCTGGGGGTGTTTTACCTATAGTCACCCGGTCCAAAAAGAACTCGACCGCCCATACTGACCATCCTATTCTTCCTCCGTCCCCACGTCATCGTGGGCGTCCGCCCATCCCATCCCATCTGCCCAGTCCGTCAGCTCTGGCTTTTCGGTGGGTCGCACGTAGCGGTGGAACTCCAGATCCACCTGGCCCCGACGTGCCCCTCACGCGACCCGGACGACCTGCGGCGACGCCACCCGGACGGTCACCGGCCTCGCGGTGGGTTGGTGGGGGACCGTGACGCTACGGACGCTACGCTACGGGACGCGGGACGCGGGAGGTGGTGTTGGTTCTTTCCTTCTTCCTACGTTTTGCCCTTACCCTGGGAGTCGGTCAGACTATAAAAAGAATGGTCTGACTACGGGAACTGAAAGGACACTTCCTTTACTCCAGCCGGTCAAAATATCGGTCGAACTGGACTAGAACGCCGGGCTTACTAACCCATCTAACCCGAATTCTGGGGGCCCGAAGCATCCCCAACGAAGTGGTGCTTGCGTGCCATGCCCCAAACGGGCGGCGGAGCCAGCGCGGTAAGCGTCCACCCGACGTCCGACTTGCGAAAGGTTCGACCGCAAGGATGCCAGTGGCCTATTTACCGCGTCCCTAGAGTTGCTGCTTTTACCCGAGTACGTAGCAATCCTTTTACAGATCTACAGTATACATGTGGCCCAGCTCGAGCCGGTGTGCGTAGCTTCTGCAAGTCCACTCTTTTTATAGGACAGTGCTTCACAAATTGGCTGACACCTAAAAAAGCGAACACTGCTCGATCTCTATATACCTGGTGCTGCGCCTGTCACCTACCTTTAGCGTCGAATTGTAGTGCGCAGTCTCTTTAAATCCGACCTCGAGAGTCTTGGCATTCAAGAAGACCACCGGGAATTCGATGATCTCGTGCTTGAACTTCCTGCCGAACTGCACTTCGAAATCGCATATGCGCATCTCAGTTTTGTCCCTGGGAGTCCAACGTCGACCATGTTTAAAACGGTCTGACGAACGGCCGGTGCTCCGAGTTCAGGAACTTCCACACTATTGGGTGGTGCCGAACGATCGACGACGTGGACCGTCGCGACGTCGTGATCGTCGTAGCAGGCGAAAGGGCTGCATGCTTGGTGGCAGCCCCCCCGAAGTGGAGCCCCGAAGGGGAGTACCATTCCGTAGCACCATCTGCAGTTGGAATGGCATCTTTGGCAGAGGTTCTCGAAAACTGCAAGTGCAAGTGGCAGAGTTGCTTTCGATCATCAGATATCATGTTCTGGTTTTGACCTTCAAGCTCCAGTAGGGCAAATGTGACCACGTACCATCTGGCATCATGTCCCAAGGCAATATTGAGTGCTTGCAAGCTATATCAATAGTCCCAATAATACCAGGACCCCCAGTCGGGGTGGTTAATGGACACCCCGAATCACAGCTTTGTGGGGCTATAGACTAACACACCCCTTGCCTTGGAGGGTCCCCACACTAGAATGTTCAACACCATCACACCATTGGCACACATGCCTAGGCAATAACCTAGGCATTCGTGCAAACTGGACATGCACCAAGCAGATCCCCCGTTGTACCGTCTAATCTGGGAATCACCAGGCCTTTCGGTGGTGTGCCGCACACAGGTGCACTCGAAGTCGACGATGGCGTAGAAGTCCTGGGACCCCAAAAGGGAGTTGATTTTGGCCCTGCAGGTTTTAGGGGGATGAGCTAGTTGGGATGAGCTTTAGGGGATGAGCTATAGAAGTCCGGCAGTTTTAGGGGGATGAGTCCGGAAACACAGGGTGTGGACCCTGTGTTTCACAGCAGACAAAGCAGCTCGGCTCAGAGTCTGGACCAGACCCTCAGTCGTCCTCTGTTAGGCGTTTGGACCGAAGAAACACCTGCGCCCCGCAGGGACTCGAACCGAACTCGGGTCGCCTCTCCACGATTGAAGGAAGTCCAAGACCATTTTGTTGGAATTGACCAGGACCTTCAGCCCAGGTCTCCGACATGGAAAACGCAGACTGACTTCCAGTAGCAGCTGGTAGCAGTAGCAGCTGGTGACCTGTTGGAAGCTGCTGGTGAGATCCGAAGTTCGTGGAGGATCCACCGTGCGAACCGCAGATCCGTTCCGATCTGAAGCCGTCCGTGGAGTTCCTCCCGCGCCGCGGGTCCCCCGTGACGTTCCGCGCGCCGGTGTGGTCTTGGGACACCAAGCTACCGGGTCTTGGCATGAAGATGGCGGTCACCACACCAAAACGACCCGACACCAGAGGTTGTTTTAGATGTTCCACGTCTCCATGTGGGCCCATCCACTCACTCAATGTTCAGTGCTCACTCATGGCATCAAGACGCTATTTTTCACAAGGGGGGTGAACTCCACTTCCATGAGTTGCAGGGAGAGTATCTTCTCAAAACATGACTCAATCTTCAGTACTTCTCATCTCCATAGCATCAAGACCCAAGGTGAGCTGCTTCCAAGCGTCAAAGCTCGCTGCTTCCTCCGACTCCTCAGCACTCTCCGTGGAGTCCACGTGGTCCACCGCATCCTGGGCAGAACCGCATGCGACCAGAGAGATTCAAGCCGAAAAACCAAGCCTATGAACATGCAGGACATCGACTGCACGAGTTTTCAGGCTCCTCAGCAGCCTCTTCGGCATTCTCGCATGACATCGCTCAAAAGAGAAATGGCGAAGACATCAAAACATGTCAAAGCAAAAAGAAAGTGGGAAAGCTTTTGGTTTCAAAGTCCGCTTATAGGGGGGTTTTGCCGGCTCTTCCCCGAATGATCCATCATGATCCATCTGTCGTGCGTTTCATAAACTCCAAATAACAAACATGTCTGCAAAAAGGAGTTCAGAGCTCTTCGTAGGTTCGCTCGAAAAGGTGTGGAGCTTCGTAAGTTCATTCCTACAGCTCCAAATTGGAAAAGATCAAAGCGGGTCCTTCCACCGAAACAACATTGGCCTTGGTGCAGCCTTCAGGTATTTAGATCCTTCGAGGCCAGCCAAAGATCAACCCTGAACGGACCTCCTTTGGACCCTGAAAATCGGTCACAGTCTACAAGCGTTTTCAGGTTTGGTTGGCAAAGCCATGTTCAGCCTTCACTATTCCTTCCAACTCAATCGCACGAAAGCGTTTTCCACACTGGAGAGAGTGTTCTTGTTGATGCACTTTTTGCACGGGCAAAGTTGTTGAGCCAAGAAGGCTGCTTCACATTGGCCGCATCCTCATGAAGTCGCCACAATGCAATTGAAGAGCTTCGATTCAGACATCCCACCCCTGCAAGAAGAAACAAGAGCAGACTAACATGCACCTTGAACAAAGACTCCACGTGGAGAAGATGTTACGACCCCCGACCCCGGTGGTTTTCAGGGTCCATGTGAGTCTGCAGGAGGGTACACTTCCTCCTAAGTTCTGGCTGAATCAATCTTGAATGCGTCTCAGCCCGCCAAGTGTGGATGGTCAACAGAGGCCTTCTAGCTCAAAGCACTGGTGGAATGTGATAGAACTCTCCTTGATTCTGATTCTCAGTGATCCTGGCACATCCACCACTTGAGGCTTCCAACTCCAAAAGCCCCCCGTCCCCTCTAATAAACCCATCAATCTGCACACCCCTGCCCCTGTTCCCTTCCCACCGAAACCGCGTCCTCCACGTCGCCACGGGTCTTCCACCACCACCCCCCCCGAGACGTCGGAGGACGTCCGGTCCAGATCACGGCCCATGCGGCTGAGGTCTTTCACGAAGATCGGACCCCAAGGCAGCGCATGCTGAGCCGGGTGGAGAGGTCCAACCAGGTCGACAGACAGTCCAGACAGAGGAGGGGGAGGGGGTAATACTACAGAGGGCGGTGCGTGACATGGCAGTGATGGCACATATATGGGCCAATCCATCCGGCAGCATCAGCCCGGTTTCAGTGGTCGTCTGGGCAAGTTCTTAGGCAGAATTTGAGGTCTTGTTAGCAAGTTTACTTCCAGCAACTGTCATTCGGGTGCCCCTTGCACAAAATTGCTAAGAATGGGCAAAGCACACCTCTTCCTCATGCCAACTCAATGAGAGCAAACAGCCGTTCGGAAGTGGAAGCTCTTCGTTGAAACATCCATCTGCTGGCACTGCACATTGTTGTCATACTATAGTACTTTTGCAAAGTGAGAGAACAATGGGACATATGCATTTTAGACCCCGACCACTCTCTGTCGTTTCTTGATGTGTCGTCACGGTCTCACTAACCCTGCCATCTCGAGCTGCAGGAAAAAAAAGCGGACGCACCTGCCGATAGAGGCGATGATGAATTAAGCCTTAGACAGCAAAAGAAGACGTGTCTTTCCAAAAAGTTTCGCCAGTCCCTACAGTCTCTCAATGACTCTCCAGGCACATTCAGACCCATTCTGGGCACGATCCACGCGAAGAAGTTCACAACACCACAAAGACATTCAAGGGTAGAACAGCTGGCCTATCGGCGAATTTCTTCACACTTTGTGCTGAGGCCCACTAACAGAGTAGGTTCGTGTTCACTTGGTGTGGGATGACGCACACGACTCTTCTGTCGAGTCACAGGTGGGACTTGGTGAAAGTCGACTCAACCAGAAGCAAGTGCTGGTAGCACCATGTTCATTGACGCTGCCAGAAATTTCGAAGTGCCATCCCAAAATTGGCTTAAGATGACTTAAAGGGAACATTGGCACAGGAAACCATCAATGTTCGACCCGCCAAAACGATGTAGATGTTCTTAGTAGATGTTCCCAAAAACAAAAAGGACTTCTCTCCTTCCACATCAATCCCAACAGAACAGAAGTCCGTCCGACGCGTGTGGCCCACAATCTGAGATCCAACGATCTGGGTCAATCTGATCAATGACCCAATCGGCATAGTCCTGACAAACGTCGGACGAGAAATTGACCCAGGGGATGAAATCGAGGTGAGTCAAGACCAGGGATTGGATGTGTTTTTTCTGGCCATAGGACCGTGATTTTGAAGCCAAAGTATGGCCGGTTCTGGTCAAAACAGGTCCGAATCAGTTCCAGGTTCATATCTCATGGTCTTGCACTCCAAACACCCTAGCGATCCAGTGGAAGTGATTTTTGGTCGGTCATCTCCAGCCATCGCGATCCCCGCCTGTGTGGCAGCTGTGAAGATGATCAGCTCATAGCCATTAGCGTGCATTCCTCGGCGCCAAGCTGTAGGTGGTGGGCTGAGCTGCAGCTTGGATAATCCACCACATGTCCCACATGTCAAACCCACAGTACAGTGTTGAGGGTGCAAAGCTTCAGGGATATCGTCTTTTTTCTCGAAACTGGCTCAAATCCCCAGGAAGCCTTAGACTTCATGCACCCTCTATATATAATATATATATACCCTGGGAGTCAAAAACGAAGAGTACCCGCCATTAATGTGCAACACACTTGCCGAGATTATCTCCGAGAGCCTCCTCGGGCCAGAGCGATCTGAACCCATACCTGAGTGGTTTTCTTCTGTCGTTGATTCCCTGGTCGCTGAATTCAACGATGATGCTGAAATGGGAGCAGATTATGCTCGGAGGCCATGACGCATGATAATTCGAATGCTGCAGCTACAGACAATAGTCTACGGCATACGCAAAGTGGAAAAAAAAAAAGTGGAGTCAAAGATTATAACAAGAATGGTCTGACTAGGGGAACTGAAAGGAAACTTCCTTTACTCCCGGTCAAAAAAAAAGTCGAACTGGACTTCAGCCGGGTATATATATATATATCTCTTTGAGCCACATGTCACACAAAGTCGAATAGCTTCTTGTTACTACTAGTAAGGCACCTGTTACTACTAGCGTGGAACTCGTTTCTAATAGCTTCTTGTTCCGTTCGTAGTGTGGCACTTGTTACTACTCTCTTCCTTTCTCCGCTCCGACGACGCCCATCCCTCGAGTCTCGGCGTTGGAGACCAGTCCACCCGCAGCGCGGGTTAGGCAGCGACCCGACGGGTGGAGAGGGGGTTGTGGGGAGACCCGAACGAACTCGGACCCCGGTTGGTGTGGTACGTATGGGATGAGCGAGCGAGATGGGATGGGCTGTGAACAACCTCTCTTGGCAAATATGGCTGTGTCATGGCATCTGGAACCCTAACTTCCTTGGGAGGTTGACCATGTTGACCGTTGTCTGTTCTGTCCATCTGACCCGTTGACCACCCGGGTCCCCTGTTTTGACCCACGGCCAAATCTCTTGGAAGCGCTCGAAAGGTCTATGCCAGTTTTGAGGCCCTTTCCGAATACCGGTAGTGGATGATGATCGTTAGGTTGCAGGCCTTTCCATCTCAAAACAAGCGAGAACCTGTTGCCAACTTCTTACTGGTATCCTGGGACGCACCAAACCTCTATATTTCTATGGGTTCGAAGGGCTGGCCGGTCTTCTTCTTAGATCCAGCGAGCTGAAAAAAACAGCACAGTTTAAGCAACGATCTGACCTGCCATGGGAGGGATCCTGCACACGTTGAATCATGAGGATCCCTCGCACCTGGCCACTTACAAGTTGTTTGCTATATAGACCGTATTAACCCGTTTTGTTGCCAAACATCTGTAGCAAAACTGACAGACTTACAGACTTACTCGTCCGATCCCAGTGTTTCACCTCAGCTCGCCACGTTGAAGGAACTCTTGCATCCCAGGCCTGGATAACCAATTGATCTTTGAATGCAAAGGGGTTCTAACCATGAAATAACCATATGTTTGCTTTGTACCCTTCCCAAACCATCCATGCACGGAATAGTTACAGGATGTTACAGTATACATACATTTATCCCATTTATCACCCTAATCTAATACAAGTAAGTATTCCATGCATGGTCTGGGGTGGTTGAAATATCAAGCCCACGCAAAGTGGATCCAAAAAATTGGTGTTGTCCTTGGTTGGGAAAATCCATGTTTTGTTCAAATGCGAGTGTTGGTCACTGTGGCTACACTTTTGCTTCGATGTTTGCCTGTTTGGTCATGCATCTATATACTGTAACTACATACCAGTAGGTGATTTGTTTGGTCCCAAGCCCTTTCATGCATATATTTACCCAGAACCTGCTATCAAAACAAATGTATAATGAGCTGAGTAACCAAATAATCGGACAATGCTGGGCCTCTCTCCACGTCAAACAGAACATGCGTTATAAGGAGACTCTTCAACAAAACACTTGGGGTTCTGGTACAACAACCTGGATCCAAAGAGAGCTTGAGCGATTGAAAAACTCATCCAAAATTCCATCCTGTCCACCAATCCCATAGCATCATCCCACAGCTATTTCCATACAGCTTCCGAGTGCTTTGGGAGCTCCAAAGCACTCGCCACACCAACCTCCAATCCGGTGCCCTCACCTGATCTCATAGCTGCCCATGCCGTCGTGTTCCGAGTAGTGGACCAAGGTCTCCTGGAGACGTGGAGCGTGTGGAGCGAGGTGGAGCGTGTCCGCAGACGGACCATCCGAGTTGTCAGTCAGTCAGTCAGTCAGTCAGTCAGCTGAAGGTGATCAGAATTGCTGAGTGTGTTCATGTATTTCCATGTTTCAGGAAGTTTGACCCTATAGCTCAATATAACTAGAAGTTGGTGCAAACATGAAGCCTGAACCCGCATCATTGACGACCCACAGTGCTCACAACACATCCGTTTCAGTCGCTTCAAAAGAAAACGACTGGCTGAAGCCGAACCCCTCCAAACGGTTTTGGATCTGCAATGGCATGTCGTGACTTGCCAAATGTGTTCAGAATAGAACGCACAAAGCCGCGTCATTATTAAACAAAAAAAATAAAGTTATAAAGGTGTGCTGCAAAAGCAACATGCAAAACAGATCGAAAGCCACCATGTCCGGTAGAATGTCCATGTTGCGGCTCGTCATCTTTCCAAACCGTCGATCTCCACCCTCTTTTGCCAAGGGGCATCAAGGTCCAGAACCAGCGAGTAAGCCTTAGTGCCATGCTGTTAAGGACCCAGCGCTGCAACTCATCATGAAGCGGCGGAAGCCTAGACTTGTGGACAAGATCTTCCGCCCTTCAGTGAAAAGTCCGCCATAGGACACCCATTACTACTAGTAACAAGGGCATTACTACTAGTATAGCTATAGAAGCTACTAGTAGCGATGCACTTGTTACTAGGTCCGCCAACCGCGCTCGTTGCGGCTCTGCTCTCCGATCTGTTGCCAGAGCATGCGTCTTCGTGGAGCAACAGATGTTCGCTTACGCCTCGCCCTACACCGGTGCGATGTTCCTGGGCCCAGCCCGGATTTTCTTCGTACCGCTCGTTGGAGTGCTCGTGCCGACCCGCAGCACACCACCACAAAAATAGGTCGGTGATCTCAGAGTGAGTGCATGTCAATCCAAACACATCTGGGTGTGTTCGTGCGTGTTTTGGCTCACCTGAAATCACGTGTCCTTGGATTTGGCTGGTTTCAGAGACCGGGAAGAATTATCACAAATATTCCCCGGGTTTGGAGATGTACCCAGTAATAACGGGAAAATCCAACATCGCCCGACTGACCTTCATTTGGATCAACAGGGATCGCGTTGTCGTCGGTTCATTCTGCAAACCTGTCGGTGCCTACAGTAGTGACCGCGAGTGGCCTGTCAGTGCAGACGTGGCCGCGATCCGGACTGAGGATCCCGGACATCCGGCATCTTGGATGGCGGCAGCTTCGGATTGGAATCCAGGATTGGAAGCATGGGCGGAAGAGGCTCGAACCTCACGAGGTGCGAGGTTGGAGCGCGTGACGCGAAGCGCGCATCGGACGTGGCAAACCCGTGCCCGTCGGAGTGATCTAGTCGTTGCATACAAGAAATCACAATACGGTATGGCAATTGAAATCCTTTACGTAGGAAATGGCTGGGACTGGGGAAACATCCATTTCTTTCTGGTTGTTTGGGGTTCCACGTGGGCTCGACCAAGTCGGGTCTTGAAAACCACCAGGTCTCCTTTATGGCAAGAATTCTCCCCAAATTCCACCCGCATTTACCAGACACGCGTAGTTCCTTTCACTTCCAAGCCTTCCCAGCCAATTTGGGTCGAATTCATCCGAACTTTCAACCAGAGGACCAGAGGTGTTCGTCCCATGTTCGGGGGTTTCTCAGTGGTGGTTCGGTTGCTGACCGACCATCTCGTTCGTCCGAGTGAGATCATCTCCTCCGTCCAACCCCGACAGCCCTCAGTCGGCCCGCTCTCTCCGACAGCCGCAACAGGCGTTGATCAATGAGACGACGGTCTCTGGACGGTCTCGGCCAAGCACCAAGATGTGCTTCAATTGTAAGTGCTTAGTTGGTCATGGGACACACCCTCAAGCAGAAGGTCTGCATGATTCCGACCAGACTTCACGGATGAGAAGAAAAGAACAAAGACACACCCATTTTTCACGGTCAACGTTGGCCATGCACGTTCAGCACCCCATAGATCACTCTAAACTGCTGGTGTCCTCCATGTTCGAGGCCGTTTGGGGGGACCAAACCAACACCTTCTTCTTCGTCCACGTGACCAGATGATGGCTCCATCCTTGGCGAAGTGTTCTGCGCCATAACGCCGGTAAGGGTCCTGTCTGGCGTCAGCTGTCGAGACCTCCAACAGACCAGGATTTGGTGGTGGATGCCAATCTTTTTGAGTTACTCGTCAAACTGGCCATGTGCCTCGGCGTTTTCTTTGACTTTGAAGCTTTCCAGTGGTTTGTGCCTCTGCACCCTCCTAAAAAATAGCAAACTTAAATCATGTGACATGCACTAGCCAAAACCTGCCCCTGAAATCCGTTCCCTTCGCGCTCCTGGGTTGGCCAAGGGCAGTCAGGGTCACCATCTGTGTTCAGCAGGGCTTCGAAACGGATGCAATTCAGCATCTTAGACCTGCCAGGTGCTGCTGGATTTTGCCTCTACACGCAGGGCTTGCAGGATACTGCAATATGGATTCTTGAGTACTTTGTTTAAGTAACGCCCATTTGGCTGGTAAAGACTCTTCATATGGGAGGTTGTTAATCAAGAGTCCACATAAAAACCCTTTTTCAAGGAACAAAAGGCACAGGAACAATGCTGTACGTATATAGTGTATATAACAACTCCGATCCTTCTCACGCCCAGCCAGCAAAAAAAACAAAGAAACGACATGTAGGTCAAGAATCGACCTTCTTGTTTCTCCAAGCAAGATCTCCAAAGCACGAGGGACCCACCGGACCACCACCGCAAAAACCACCGCCGGAGTCGTCGTCCGGAGTCGTTCCGGGGCACCGGATGGCGCTGGCGCGCAGTCGATCCAACGGCACCTCAGCCGAGGCACCGCGGTCCGCGTGCGGAGTGCGTGCGGGAGACGCGCGCGGGAGGTGCGGGACGTGCGGGACGTGCGGTGCGCGGTGCGGTGCGCGGTGCGGTGCGCGGTGCGGTGCGCGGTGCGACGTGCGCTTTCCCATGGGATGACAGGTGGGTTGGGCAGTAAATCCAAAGGTGCGTTGACAGGTGACTTTACGACATGTGTGAAGCGGCATCTTCTTGCGGGACCTCCACGATCGAAGGCCTCCTCCCGGCGGACTCGCTGCAACGGAAGGAGCTCCCTGTGCCGTGTCTCGCTCCTCACTGCAACGACATCGAGGTTGTTCGGCATGGGGCAATGCAGAAGGACAGGAAAGTGGTCATCGAAACCGGTGTGGCTCAGGATTCCATGTATGTCCTATATTGATGCCAAACCGTATGCAAAACCGTATGCATCCAAACCCAACGCTGAATCCATCATACACACTGTTTCCATGACCAGCTTGGCAGCTCTCATTCGCTCGGCAGCTCGGCATGCTGAAAAAAAGTGTCGCCTCCTCTGCACCGCTGCCGTCAGAAGAGAGGCACTGAGCCATCAAGCACCGTGTCCCCTCCATTTCGAAGATATCAGCACCCGACTCCACAGTCTGGTCTGCGAAATGGAGGGTTGAGAGGCGAAAGGTCGCCTGTGAAGTCGGGTGTTGGCTACTGGCTGAAGTGTTCGGTCGGTCGGGTGGGCGTTGGCTTCTCTGAGAAAGGTTCCCTTGACCTGTTCGTTCGGTCGGTCGGGTCCTTCTCTGTTCCCCTCTTCAAGGTCGGTCGGGAGCTTCCTGAAAACGGAGGAACTTCTTCTCGGAGAATCTCCACATCGTCTGCGCGAGAACGTCACGTCACTTCTTCGTCACGTCGTCTGCGCTCAGCCCATCTCCCTCCGATTAGTGTTCACCGAACCGGGAGAACTGACCACAGCCACGGCAGTGTAGCCAAGCTTGCACTGGTGCTGAAACACACACCCATTCGGAAAAGGGAAGGTTTACACCCCCCCTTCAAGGTTTTTGTCATGACGTGACTGGAGCAGCAAGTTCTGTACCGCTTCTGTGAAAAAAAACAAATTACACCACCGTAGACCCCAAACAGGTGGGACGTTCCCAAGCAGCATTCCCAAGTAAAGAACCCCTAACAGTAAGCTGTTTGGGGAAAAAACATTTTAAACACAAACATGACGTGCAGATCGAATCACTGGGCCGCTTTCTTGAGCCTCGCATTGACGTCGCAAGGACTCTGTGCCTGCATCTCACCCCAGTGCTTTAAGGGCTGTTCTTTTTGGAGCAAGACCCAGTATATTCCCCATGTGCACCCCAAAAACTGACCTGAGTGCAATCAGAATACTATAATATAATATAGCATAATATGATGTAATACAATATAATATACCATAATGTGTATACTATATGTTATGCCAACTATATAGTATCATATATATTACTATATAACATTGTGTATATCATATATCTAATTTATATATATACAATGGCGGACCACTTTGATGAAGCCGAAATTGGCCACAATTTGAGGTCCAAAAAGCAAGACCCTTTTTACACCGGCGGCTGTCACATCAGCAGGTCAGATGTCCTGGGCAAGCGATCTGCAGAACTCGAAACTCAAGGAAAGGATGGTCACTTCACACCGAAGGTCAGCACCTACGTTTCTCTGGACCCTACATTCCAAAACGCCTGGGTATCCTCTAGCAAACCCAAGCTACAGAGAATGGTTTGTGGCCTTGGCGATGTGGATTGAGGGCCACGCAATGATAATGTTCCTTTTTAAACCACCATTAGACATGGTTCATGCTCCTACACGAACACCCTGGTGTTGCCCCCCAACCAAAAAACACAATTATTGCGACAAGTTGCTTGCCTACAGCTTTGCCCTACTCATTTGACCTGCCGGGGGTCCTGTATGCATCTAATCATGCGGGGAATGTTTGGCTCTGGAGCTAGAGGGCAACATCAAATGATATAAAAAACAACTTGATGCGAGAGACACTGATGGACCGAAAGGAGGAGAACCCGAAACTCCAAAAAGCAGCTAGCAACACACTTTCCAACCTCAAGCCGCAGCTAATCTTCGATCAGTGCGCTGGAGCATCTTGGATCGCGAGCTCGTCTCGCCACAGCTTCGAATCAACTTCAACATAAATGGAATTGGCCTGCAGCCATGGGTCTTCGTGGCACCAAATATTGGTGCAAACAATGAGAGGGATAGCATACACAAAAATGGTGTATGCGTGCTGCTGAGTCGGGCTCTGGCCCAATGTGATATGGGAGAGCAAGTCGATTGAAAGAGCTGGCGGTTTTGCAGCACTAATGTGTGGTCGGCCTCGTCCAAAATAATTCATCGATGACGAGTACGGTCGAAGTCCTTGCAATTTGGCTGTGAGATACCCTGGCGCGATAGAATAAGCGTCTTATCAGCCCCATAAAGCAATTTGGCGTACTGAGTCTTACCGAACTGACTTGGTCCATGTAGCACCAGGAAGGGAAATCCCGTACGAAAGCCAAACTCTTGTGTAAATAGCTGCATCCACTCGGCCACTGCTTGGATGAAGCGGGGAGGTCGCTGCAAGTGATGAAGAGATGCCTCCAAAGTATACATCAAAGACACCGCCTCTTGCTTCTTCACCTCTTCCTCCACAAATTCAATCTCAGCAATGCATTGCCGAAGCCCCTTGACGCGTGCCTGCAACAACTCGGATTTGGCCCTGTCAGGGGTCAGTTTGTACAGCCGCCAAAGTGACATGATGGACTGGCTGTCCACTGTAAAATCCTTGAACTTGGCGTGGTTCGTCCAAGTATAGACAGTTCCCAGCCTGGGCGCTTGCACGTAGTAGTGAGATGCATCCAAAGCTTTTTGTAGATGCCGTCCCCGGCCCCTGCTGCCTCGCACATGTGGAAGCGATCCTCTAAATAACCAAGCCTCCACACGGCCAAACCTCAGTCTCTTCTCTGGCAAGCTGACGGCGACATGGAAATGCACCAGGTTCGCAACCTTTTCTCTTTTCAAGCTCAATTCCATAGTGCAAGATACTTGCGCCCAGCCGAGGGCACGAGCCACAGAACGAATCAAGCTGACGAAGTCAGACCATAATTGCTGGTAGAACGAACAAGCTTGGACGGAAGCAACCAAAACAGGCTCCGGGCCCTCAAGGTGCTGTAGTCGTTGAGAGTCTGCATTGGCGACCCCCCCATGATCCATTGTAAGCTAATAGAAAACCATGCAACTGCCACTCATGCGGACGCAAGACACCCATGCCACCAGCATCTGGCTCCTCACGAGCAGGAGTCAGCGGCACAAGCGGACGTTCAACTGCAAGAGCTTCGCGACTTGGAAGAGGTGGACACGGTAGCGCCGGATCCAACATGTGGCAATACCACCCCTGAATCACACAGCTCAATTGTAACGGGAACTTGCCTCGCAAGTACTTGACAGCTTCTTTGTGGCTCCCTGTCTCCTGCCGCAAATCTGGATATAAACTACGCAGAAGCCTCGAGCACCATTGATCTCTAAAAGACGCCCTTTCTCTATGAGTCAAGCGCTTCAGCAACTCTGCCGCGTCTGGCGGTAGTTGGTAGCCCACCTGCTCTGTCTGTGCTGCTGCGGCTTTCGCGTCCCAGTCAAGTGTCCGTCGTCGACGAGGAGCGGGTTCTACGCAGCTTTGCTCCCGATCGAGCTGTAAAACAAGGTCAGCTATCACTTGTTCCAGATCGGCATCTGTTTCATCAGCGGCACTGGAATCCATGGGGACATGATCGGAAAAGAAGGATGGACACCCAGTCTTGTGGCCCTGTATTACGATAACAAACTTTCAAACTGCACATGTAAAAATGCAATCATTAGTCGGGGAAGTTCCCCCATGCCAGCAACTTGGAATCTAGCGTGGCTTGCCCATTTCAAGTTTGAGAATAGGCCGCAGACAACGCACTTACGAAACAAGCTTGACAGAGCAGCGCTGCAGATTGAGAGACATGCTGGGGAGAGGTTCAAGGTAGCTTTATGCTGCACGGATGCGCACGGATGCCCACATTTCTCAAAGATTTCAGGGGTCTCGCCATCGGCTATGTGGCACGGATGCGCACGGATGCCGTGAAACGCAGGGAAAAGTACCCCGGATGCATTTTCCGTGCTTTGAGAATTATAATAAGAGCAAAAAACACGGATCACGGATGCCCGGATGTCATGTCAGTCATATCGTCCCCATTGTATGGGGGGGAGGGGGTGATACTTGATGGAATGATCAAGCGATCTACATTTATAGGCGTGGAACTTCTTGAAGGAAGTTGGCAAAGGTCTATGGAGTCATCCATGTCTGTTTAAGTATCATACCTTGGGTACAATACACTAGATTCTTGTCAATGTGTGACGTCTGTCGTTTCTATTCATAGACACCCTACGATGTAGGATTGTGTGGTTTATCAGCAAAGACCAGGTAGCATCCCAATGAATCTGGAATGATGATACGGCGCTGACATCTGAGCTCTGCTTGAAGTAGTAAAGAAGCCGTGTGGTTTTAAGATGAGGCGCCGCCAGGAGGTAGAAG